CGGGTGTAGCCCCGGGGATGAGCCCCTGGCACCAGCAGCGCCCCCGGGACACGCGGTGTGCCCAGCCTGCCCACCCGCAGGACTGTCCTGCCCTCCCCAGCTGTGCCAGATGTGCATGTTTTGTGCCCCCCTCCAGGAGGTGCTGGGCGAGGATAAGCTCATGGCCATCCTGAAGGAGCGGGAGCTGAGGATCTACTGGGGCACGGCCACCACGGGCAAGCCCCACGTGGCCTATTTCGTGCCCATGTCCAAGATTGCGGATTTCCTGAAGGCTGGGTGTGAGGTAACGGGGTCACACCGGGACCCCACACCCCGGGGGGGGTGGTTCCCTGGACTCCTGGCAGTGACTTGTGCCCTCTGTGCCAGGTGACAATCCTCTTTGCTGACCTCCACGCTTACCTGGACAACATGAAGGCCCCCTGGGAGCTGCTGGAGCTGCGCACCCGCTACTACGAGCACGTGATCAAGGCCATGCTGGAGAGCATCGGGGTGCCCTTGGACAGGCTCAAATTCGTCCGAGGCACCGACTACCAGCTCAGCAAGTGAGTCCTGGGGCACCTGGGCTGGCAGAGCCTGGCCTTCTCCTGACCCTGCCCTGCTCCTGACCCCGCTCCTGGGACACCAGGGGCCTCCAGGGTTTGTCTCCTCTCAGTGAGGCCAGAACCAGCCACTCTGGGGTGTCCCCATGTGAGTCCTGGGGCACCTGAGCTGGCAGAGCCCGACCTGAGGCTCTGCTGCTCCTGTGCCTGCCCTTCTCCTGACCCTGCTCCTGGGGCAAAGTGAAGGTGCCTCCAGGCTTTGTCTGCTCCCAGTGAGGCCAGGGCCAGCCGCTGTGGGATGCTCCCCATGCCAGGTGGGCTCAGTGGTGCCCTTCCCACAGGGAATACACGCTGGACGTGTACCGCCTGTCCTCGGTGGTGACGCAGCACGACGCCAAGAAGGCAGGGGCGGAGGTGGTGAAGCAGGTGGAGCACCCCTTGCTGAGTGGTTTGCTCTACCCAGGCCTGCAGGTGAGGCAGGGGCTGCCCAGGGAGGTGCTGGCAAAGCCAGGACCGCAGGGGTGTGAGGGGCTGGGCGTCCAGGTCGTCGTTCTCCACCCCAACATCCCACCCGGCAGCGGCACGAAGTTGCTGGTGCAGCAGACAGTCCAGAATATTCCCGGCCTTTCCCAGGGTGGGAGTGCCCTGGGAGAGGCTGAGGGACAGGCAGGACGTCTGAAGGCTGAGCAGAGCTGGAGTGGGGCGTTTTGGGCCCAGCCTCAGGGCTCTGTGTGTCCCCACAGGCGCTGGACGAGGAGTATCTCAAGGTGGACGCGCAGTTTGGAGGGGTTGACCAGAGGAAGATCTTCACCTTCGCAGAGAAGGTCAGGAATGGGGGGCTTTCTGCCATCCTGGGGCTTGAGGGAGGGCTTGGACACTTGCTGATCCACTGGGAGAAGGGTGTGTGGGGTTTTGGTTGGCACCAAAGTGCTCTGTGCTGCAGGGCTCTGGCGCCCTGGGAGCTCACAGTGGCTCTCTGGGTCCTGTTATTTTGGATTCCAAAGTCATCTGGAGCCAGGAGCAAGCAGGGATTGTGACTGAAAGGTGATCTTTGGATGAGCATTGTCTCTGACTTGCCTCTTTCTTGCCTTTTCCCAGTACCTCCCTTCCCTGGGCTATGCCAAGCGTGTCCATCTGATGAACCCGATGGTTCCTGGGCTGACAGGCAGCAAAATGAGCTCGTCAGAGGAGGTTGGTGCCTGATCTGGCTGTGCCAGGGGGGTGTAGAGGGGCAGGTTGAGGGCTGGGGGTGGAGAGGGTGCAGCCCTGCAGGCAAGGTGACCTCTCTCTGCTCACACGGGGTTCTAGGGAGTTGCAGCGACTCTCTCATGAGTTTTCTCTTTTGGGCAAAACGTTGAGTGAAGGGGCTGAGGAAATCTCTTGCTGCAGGACTCAAAGATTGACCTTCTGGACCGCAAGGAGGATGTGAAGAAGAAGCTGAAGAAGGCCTTCTGTGAGCCAGGGAACGTGGAGAACAATGGTGTCCTCTCCTTCATCAAGCACGTCCTCTTCCCCCTCAAGTCAGGTGAGGGCTCGCCACGCTTGGGGGGGTTTTCCCCGTGGATAAGAAGAGGGGACAGGAGCGTGTCCCCTGAGTGCCACCTCTCCAGCCTGTGGTCCCCACCCTGGGCAGGGTGGGGCAGGTGGTTTTATCTGAGCCTTGAGTTAATCTGAGCCTTAAAATCTGTGTGTCGCAGAGTTTGTGGTGCTGCGAGAAGAAAAATGGGGAGGAAACAAAACCTACACGGACTATGAGGCCCTGGAGAAGGACTTTGCTGAGCAGGTGAGTGCTGGGAGGGGCTGAACCTTCTCCCTGTGCCTGAGGCTCTCGTGAGCAATCTGGGAGCAGCACTGGGAGATGAAGATCCACACTGGGAAGAGGTGTGGAGTGTGGCCCAGTGACAGGGTGCTCCCAGCCAGGAGAGGATGGGTGAAGGATGTGGGGTCACCAGCTGTCCTGGTGCAGGACAGGGCCACATCAGCCTGATCCTGGAACAGAGCAGCAGTTAAACCCTTCTCAGATGTTCCCAGATGGAAGCAGAAGTGTCCAAAAGAAGGGCTCTGATGTCCGAGGGGAACCAGGCTGAGGGTTGGGGTTCATCTCCAGTTCCTCCAGTTCCCACCCTGGGCCTCAGACAGGAACCTGTTTGTCGTGCACAGGTCGTGCACCCCGGAGACCTGAAGAACTCGGTGGAAGTGGCCCTGAACAAACTGCTTGACCCCATTAGAGAGAAGTTCAACAGCCCAGAGCTGAAGAAGCTGAGCAGTGCTGCATATCCCAACCTGTCCAAAGCCAGTAAGGAGGTGCTGGGAGATGAGGGAAGTGGGACCCTGGGACCTCAGGGAAGCAGAGCCCTGACACGTGGGGCTGGGTGGGAGAGAGTCTCTCCAGGGGCTGAGGTTAGAGAGAAGTTCTGAAACTTCAGTCTCAGAAACAGCCCTGGAGAACACTGGGAGAGGTGAGGAAGGCCAATGCCAGGGCTGTTTGCCTGCTCTGGAGATGCTGCTCTGGTGCTTGAGAGGGCAACACCGCAGAGGAGGGGCTGTGCTCCCTGGTGTAGAGACAGGCAGGGAATTCCCGGCAGGGTATTCCCCCCAGGGCCTGCATTTGGGAGTGACTGTGCTCCCCAGGGCTTGGCCAGCTCCCTGAGTTTATGCTGAATGATGTGACCATTCCCTTTGCCCTACAGAGCCTGGAGAGAAGGGCACCAAGAACTCGGAGCCAGAGGAAGTGATCCCGTCCCGGCTGGACATCCGCGTGGGCAAAGTGATCAGCGTGGAAAAGGTACAACAGGGCCGTGGGGGAGAGTAACCACCCCACGTGGACACGTGGGGGGCTTGGAGGGGTCTGCCCCCTCCCCTGCCACCCCATTCCCATCCCTGCCCCTCCCCTGGCAGCACCCAGACGCAGACAGCCTGTACGTGGAGAAGATCGACGTGGGCGAGGCCCGAGCCCCGCACGCGTGGTCAGTGGCCGGTGGGTGCAAGTCGTCTCAAGGACAGCGCAGGACAGCTCGTGTGCTAGCTCTGCAACCTCAAGCCCCAGAAGATAGGGGAGTGGAGTCTCAGGGCAAATGGTGGCTCGTGTGCCTCCAGGTGAGGGAGGAGAGGGGGGCACTGGGGTGGGAGCGGCTCCAGGGGGGACATTCTGGACTGCCCTGTCTGCCCCAGGGCATCTGAGCGGGCAGGTGGGGACCCCTGTGGGGCTGACTCTGCTTGGTCTTCGCAGCGTGGGGGAGCCCCGGCAGGTGGAGCCCCTGGACCCGCCGGCCGGGTGCTGCGCCGGGGAGCGCGTCTACGTGGAGGGGTACGAGGGCGGGGAGCCCGACGAGGAGCTCAAACCCAAGAAGAAGGTCTTTGAGAAGCTGCAGGTGAGGGGCTGGGAACAGCTCAGCGTGGCTGGGGCTGCAGGCATTGACTGGGGCAGTGCTTAGGGTGTCCCCGCCCCTGGGTGACCCCAGATTGGCTGTTTGCCCCTCGGTGCCCACGGTTGTTACTGTCAGCAAAGCTGGGCACTGCTGCCCCACTGCTGATCCTGCCTCCCTGCTCTGCTCCCAGGCTGATTTCCGTGTCTCCGAGGACTGTGTCGCGCAGTGGAAGCAGAGGAACTTCCTGACCAAGCTGGGGAGAGTCTCCTGTAAAAGCCTCAAGGGTGGAACCATCAGCTAACAAGTGCCAGGGCTGCTGCTCGTGCCTCCTGCCTGGCCCCTGCCACCACCTCGGTCTCTGCCATCTCCCCTCTCAATGCCCCGAGCTGGGGGCTCAGCCCTGCAGGACCTGGAGGCTCTGGGACTGAATTGGCAGCCTCCAACATCCCCCTGGGCCTCGTCTGTGGGCCAGCACTGGGGCCTGGAGGTGGCATCCCACCTAAAGGACTTGTGTGACTCATCCCCATGGCCTTCAGCTCCACGCTGGGGCCATGGGCTCGCTCCCAGTTGTGCCATGGACTGCACTCCCTGCCCACTGGTCCCGAATGGGACGGCATGTGTGGGTGCTGCAGTGAGGGCAGAAGGGAAAAGCTGCTTCTCGAACCTGTGTTGCTGCTACCAGGGCTGGGACAGCCCAGCAGGACTGTCCCCTGCCCTGCCTGGGCACCTCCTGCTCCACCCTCAGCCCACCAGGGCTGTGGCCACTGGGGCTGCTCTTTGGCCAGGAGCCCAGGGAGCACCCGTGGATCTGCTCCAAGCCTGTGGGGGGTGTGGGCCTTAAACACTGACTCGGGATCCATCTGTCATAAACCCAATAAAACGTCAAGCTGACTGCACACGGGTGTGCCTGTCTGTCCAGGGGAGGCAGCTGAGCAGGCAGCCAGCCCTGCTCCTGAGCTTTAGTGGGCACTGGTGCTGGGAACCAGCCCGATGGGGGTCTGTGCCCGCCCTGGAGCTCAGAACCATCCAGAAGGGACCTGCCACGCGTGGCAGTGCCGTGGCCATGAGCCAGGAAGCACAGGAGGCAATGAGCTTAGGTCATCATTTTTACCAGCCAGGTACAGAGCTCTGAGCAGCTACTCGGCGGCAGAGGGTCAGTTGCTTTTGGTTTGGTTGGGTTGGGTTTGTTGGTTCGTTGTTGGTTGGTTGGTTTTCGGTTTTTTTTACAATCAAAAGAAATCAAAATGTGACCCGAGTTTACAGAAAGAATCGAGGCTCCACCCCAGAGCCCAGGGCCTGAAGACCAGCTCAAGGGGCAGCCAGGCTCCCCCTCACCCTGTGGCCAGCGTGGCTGCAGGATGGCTGGGATGGGCAGTGGCGAGTGGCCGGAGCTGGCACTGGCCACGAGCCCCTCTTGCCTCTCCATCAGGGGACAAAGCCCTGGTCCCTCCCAACCAGTGCCTCCATCCCGTCCTGCTCCTGTTTGCATCCCCCCGGGCACTGCCGTGGCCAAAGCCTTCCCATTCCCTTGTCCAAAGTGCTTCAATTCCTCGCAGGCCTGGAGCAGAGCGGTCCCACCTCTGGTGTCTTCGGTCCCCAAACTCCTCTCGGCTCCGCACGCCCAGACCAAGCAGCAGCCTGGCAGGGAGGAGGTGCTGGCTCTGGGCACAGGCCTCGAGTCCAGTAAAAAAAAAAAGCAAAATAAAGCTGTAGTACTTAGGAAAGTGAAACCAACACCATTTTTGCATAAATATCATCAAGGCCGTGGAGGCTAAGGCTGTTTGCTTCCTGTATTAAGTTAGTTGCCAGTTCCACACTCGTCCGTTGACCTGCCCAGGTCCCTGAGAGATTTGGATTCCTGTCCGTGGGGGCACCAGTCCTGCAGCATCATCCTTCAGGCCGTCTCTCCCCGTCTGTCTGCAAGGCAGGAGGGAAGAGCCCGTCAGCCACCCCGAATCCCCACTTCCCACAGCCCTACCAGGCTCTCCCTGCTGTCCCAGTGCCACCCCAGCCATGGCCCAGCTGCCACACTGGGAGCCTATAGCTCGGGAATGTACAGCCTGGGAATGTACAGCTCAGGATCCTGAGCACCTACAGCAGCAGCATCCCTGAACCGGGCTCCCATCCCACATACCTTGTGCAGGGAGGCTCTGAGCTGGCGGCTCCGTGGTGTCCCTGCCCTCCGTCCCCGCGGCCGCCGTCCCTGCCAGCTCGCTCTTAGTCCTGCTCTCGTCCGCCGGCACCGCCGCGGCGTTCCCGTCCGGCACCGGGGAGCCCAGCGCCTCTGCCCCTGCTGCCTTTGGGCTCAGCGGGGAAGGAGCCGGCCCTGGGCCCAGCGAAGGCTTCTTGGCTACCGGAGGGGGGACCTTGCCAGGTTTTCGGTGGGCTTGTGCCTTGCCAGGGCCCTGCGGGGCGGCCGCCGGAGCCGCCGAGCGCTGCCCCGAGAAATTCATCAGCTCGGCCACCAAGTTCCTCTTCAGGTCAGCCTGTGCCTCGGGGGACGAGGCCGTCTCGATCACCACCTTCCGGGAGCTCTTGGCGAAGATGAAGCTGGCGGTGGAGGCCGCAGACTTGCTTCTGGGGGAGAGCTGCCCGTCCTCGGAGGGCCCCCCGGGCTGGGCCGCTGGGCTGCCG